CAAAAAAAAAAAAAATTACAGCCAGTCGGGAAAATATTTTCCCACAAAAAAGGCGGGAAAACATTTTCATCAAAAATCCGGAAATTGCACACGTGTGGGGAAAATCCGAAAAATATTTTCCTTGAGAATTTTCGCCTATCAAACAACAAAAAAAGTGAAAAGTGAAAAATATTTTCTTACTTCCCCGAAAAATGTGGTCTATCAAACACGGCCTAAAATTTTCAAAGTCCTAATCCCATTTCATTGCCCCCTCTCCCTCTCTATATTCAAAACCCCCAAGCCCGGTCCCTTGTCGAGGCGGAAGAAAAGGGGAAATCTGTTTTCATTCTTACCTTACCTCCGTCTCTGCTCTGCTCGACCAGTCGACTGTCGACCTCGGCGCCGTCACGCAGGAGAACTCTTTAATCGTTACCCTTGGAAGCAGAGGAATCTGATTCAGGGATCGGAGGTCTGCCGACTACCGTCTGTACAGGTTAAGTCTCAGCCACTTCTCACTGTTCTCTTCTTTTGCATTTTAAAAACACGATAAACATCAACCCCTAAACCCAAAAACCCATTTCCCGCACATCTTACATGGTTTATTTTTCCATTTCTTGAAATCCAATCAATTTGTTGAGCTTTGATTCTTGTCTTCCCCCGTAGCCGTGTTTCGGGTTGTAATATGCTCTATTGTTTATTAATCAGGGCTAAGAATGAAGGGATTGGAGCCAAATAATCTCTGATTTGGGAAGCATGTTCATTTTCTGAATACTGGGCTCGTACTTGTACATCGGATTTTCTCTTTTCACCACAGTTGTTCATACCTAAATGTGCAACGATCGAGGAGCAAACATGTGAAGTGTGAACTCAGAAGTAATTGACAAATGTTGTAGTCGCCATAGTGGAGAATATATTGGTAAGGTTATTAATAGTTACTGTATAAGCCATTTGTTGTTATAAAAGACTTGAAAATGAAAGTGTTGTTCCATATGTTTGAAATTATTTATTTTCTTGATACATGATTCATCATGGATTAATTATTTAGTCTGAGTGTAATATTGTACTTAAGGGGATTGGTTCATTTTGTGTTTTGGATGATATGTAGCCTTGTCTTTCTTTGGAGAGCAATAGATGTCGGCTTTATGTAATTCTTGTTTCTTTTAATGGTTATAGTAGAAAGAAAAATAAGCTTGGACAAACATGAAAGAGCTTATTTTTTATTTCTCTTTCTTATTGAATGATGCTTACTTAACAGGGAGTCAGGGACTTGAAAACATTGATTTTTTTAGTACGTTTAGCTGTGGTGATGGCCTGGGGCTTGGTTTTTGTGACGGCGTTTGTAGCGTATGTTTTTAAACATTGACTTGGTTCTACAATGTTGTGGCTCATTGTCAAGTTTGTTTGTGGATTGACAAGGAAACCCCGAGGACAGGATTTTAGGGGGTAAATAGAAGAACAATGCATTTCTCTACTGCCACGGGTGCAATTTTTTGCCTTCATAGCTTTGTTTGCTGGGATCTGTTTTACTTTGCTGTATTGTTCCCATCTTCTTCTTAAACTCACAGATTAAGAGATTTGTTGTATTTGATTTTCTGATTATATATGTGTATTTATGCAGGCAGAGAAGTTTAGCTTCAGGGAAAGGTCTTAAGCCTTTTGATTAGTTTGATTTTACTGTGTCCTCAGGTACAAGCATAATTTAATTTGAAGTTTTGAATCTCTGCTTTTTCACACTTTCACTTATACTATGGGATTTTTCCTGTCATTGTTTGTTTTTCATTTATTTTTGATTTGTTTGTGGGTAGCAACATGTTGCTTAATATCTAGTTCTTATTCTGAATTCTGATATGTTAGTATCTTCCCCAAGTCTAATATTTAGTAATGAAAGCTGCTATGCTTTGGTGGTTATCCAATACATAGTTGTAAATAACTAATGAAGTGAATTGATAACCCTTGTAATCAATATCACTTGTTTCATTTATAGCTAAGAAGGTTTAGATGCCAGTTAAGCTTAAGGAAAATGCAACTATTCATGGTTTGGTACAGAACTTAGAATTGCTGAGGATGCTTTTGATATTGTTTCTCAGTGGTTGTGCTTGATGTGCAGATTACGAAAAGCTCATGCTAGTACTTTACATGCTTTTGTGGTGGTGGTTTTGCAGCAGATGGGAGTGGGCTCTTTGATCATTTTTATGAAAGTTACGATTGATGTACCTCATTTCTTTTTGTTTGTAGAAGACAGTGCCTTCGATAGTCTTAATAAATATTTCTGTGACATTTTTTATTTTGTTTCGAACTCTAACATTAAGGCATTGAATAGATATATTTTCAATTTCTATGTATGTTAGTTTGTACATTATAATTATAATTTTTGCATTTTTTTTTTTTGGGTTTAAACTGTAATAAATTAAGTTTTCAAGAAAATAATTATTAAAATAAAATCATTTTTTAAAGTTTTTAATTCATAATAGCGATGGAAATTCGTTGGTAATCATCAACGGACATAATTTGCATCAAATAAATAGTGTTGCTATTTCATATTTTCTGCGGCAAATAAATAGTGTTGCAATTTTGTTAACACGATAAATGGTCGAAAGTTGTCACAAAATGCATTCGGTGACTTAACATTCGCAACAAACATATTTCTTGGGAAAACTTTATTGGAATATTTGTTGCGACAAACTGACTTGTCATCCTTTAAATTTTTCGCGACACATTCATTGTGACGACATTATGGCTACAGATATTTTGTCGTCATTTCATATTTTTTGCGTCAAACAAATAGTATCGCGATTTTATTTCTGCAACGAATCTTCGAAAGTCGTCACAGAACATATTCCGTGACTCATTGTGCGACAATGCCCGCAACAAATGTATTGTCGTCACTAAACTACTTGCAAAAAAATCTCAATTTTTGCGACAATATTTTTTTGTCGCGAAATCACAGTTTTGTTTTAGCGTTCTTTCTTCTTTGAAGTAATAATTACATGATTACATTCCCAAATATCCTTTAAGTTTGTAAACTTATAACTACTTTTTATTCTTTTTGTTTTAACATAGAATCGGGAAGATAATAAAATTGTTAAATGATTAATCAAGTGTGGTGTAAATGAACACTACAAAGGGCTTACTTCTTATGTTTTTATTATTTTGTGTAGAGCAAAATTTCTCACCCTTGTCCCACATTATCTTGAATCCAATGGGACGGGAAATCACCTCCCAAGTAGTAAATGGGGCGAGGACGAGGACAATGATCTCTGCCCCCAAAATCCCATAATCCACCCGAATTG